CTATATAAAATTTGATTAAAATTAATATAAAAATTATATAATAAATAATTTAATTACTTAACTTTAAATCTTAATATCTTTATAATTATTAATTTAATTTTTATGAAATTTAGAATCTAGAATAATTTGTTTATATAATTTAAAATTTTAATATTACAAATTGATAATAATAATATTTAAAATTTTTTTTTTAAAAAATAATTTTATTTTAATTTTTTTTAGTATAATAATACTTTATTTATTATTAAATTAAAATATAATAAAATAATTAAAATAATATAAAAAGTTAATATAAATTATTTTTTATTTAATATAAAAAAAAATTAATTATAATTTAAATAATTTTTATTAAAAATAATTATTGATTTTTATATTAAGATACAAATCTTTTTGTACTAATTCATATTAGAAAAATTAATAAAATTATATTAATTTAATAATATTAATTTAAATAAAGTTATATTTTTCTAAATATATTCTTTCTAAGTATATATATTATATAATTTCTTTTTAAATATATAGTATATTTTAATTTTAATTTATAAGTATTTTATATATTTTGATCTTTATAAATATATATTCTCTCTAAATACAAACTTTTTATTTTTTTTACTATAATTTTAAGAGAAATATACTTAAAAAGATATAATTATAGTTAAAATATTTTAGATAAATTAATTAAATATAATAATTAAACTAATATTTATAGAATTATTAAAAATATATAAAAGTAATATATTTTAATTATAAAAGTTAAATAAAAATAATTATATTAATAAATAATTAATAAATAATAATATAATTATAATATATAAATAAAAAAATAAAAAAATAATAAAGATATTAAGAATTTAAAAAATAATAAAAATAAAATATAATAAAGAAATATTATTAAAATTATAAAATAAAGCTAAAAATAAATTAATTAAATTATAAAATATAAAATTTTAATAATATTTAAAATTAAAATTAAATAAAATTAAAATTAAAATTATATTATATATAATAATTTATATAAATTATATATTATTTATATTATTAATTTTTAATTATAAAATTCTTAATTATAAAATATTTAATAAATATATAAATAATAAAATAAGTAATAATAAATATAATTTAAATTATTAATAAAAAATAATTATATCTAATTATAAATAATAATTATTAATTTATAAAAATAATAATATATTTTTTATTATTTTTTAAATATCTTCTTTATTTAAAATTTTATTTAAAATAAATATGATCTAGTATAAAAGATTGATATATCAATATAAAATTAATAATTACTTCTATTTTTATATTAATTTAATTAAAATTTATATAATAAAATTTAAGAAATAATAATTTAAAAAAGTTTATTATTAGTAAAATATTTTTTATAAAAGATATATAATAAAAAATTTTTATATTTAAAAAAATTTTAATATCTAATAACTTAATTAAATATAGTAGAATTAAAATTTTATTTTAAAAAAATAATCTATTAATATTTATTTAATGTATTAATCTTTTTATACTAGATTATATTAATATATAAATACTTAAATAATAATATTTTTAGAAGATACTTTTTAATATATAAATATAATAATAAAAATATTATAAATAATAAATAGAAAAGAATAATATATTTAACTATTTTAATAAAATAAGTAATAATAAAAATTTTACTAAGAATATCTTTTAAGACTAAAATAACTTAAGTAATTATGTAATTTATCTTAATATAATTAAATAATCATGATATAATAAATTATAATATTATAATATAATATAATTTATTAACTAATTTATTATTAGATTTATTATAATTAAATAATAATTAAATTATTAAAAAAATTTAAAAATAAATTTATTTATTTATTTATAATTTTTTATAAATAACTTAAAAAAAATATTTATATTATTATATATAATAAAAAATTATATATAAATTTTAAAAAAAATTAATAAATAATAAAAATTATATTTAAATATTTAAATTTATTATAATATTATATTAAATTGAAATAATAATATCTTATATTTTAATTATTAAAAAAAGAAAATTATTAATTTTAATAAGAAAAATATTTAATTTTTTATAATATTTAGAATTATAATAATTAAAAATAAAATTATAAAAAGATAAAATATTTTTTTAATATATTCAACTTATATTCTTATTAAAAATTTTGTTTTTTTTATAAATTATAAAGTTATTTATTAAAATATTATAAGTTTTTTTTTATAAGAATAGAACTAATAATCTTTTTTAACTATTAAAATAATTATTTAAAATAATTAAAAAAGAATAAATTTTTTAATAAAAAATATTAATATATTATATTTTATAAATTATAAACTAATTAATTTGATATATATTTTCTTATAAAAAGATAATTCAAGTTAAATAACTTATAATATTAATTAAATATTTTTATATAATATAAATTTTTTATTAGAATTTTTATTAATTAAAATAATTTAAATCAGTTTTATTTTTTTATTTATTTTTAATAAATTAATAAAAATAATATTAAAAATAAATAAAATCAAATCTAATATATAATTATTTAAGCTTATATTAATATTATATTATAAATAATATAAATTATTAGTTATACTTGTTAAAATATTTTAAGTATTAATAATTAAATATATAAAAAATAAGTTTTTATTATAAATTTGTAGAAAAATCATGATTTATAATAGTAATAATTTTATAAATTATTATATTACTTGAAAAATTTGATTTATACAAGAATATTAAAAAGAATCTTGATTTTATTATTTATAAAATATTATAAGAATAAAATAATAAATTAATATATTTCTTTTACTAATATAAGATAATAATATTCATTAATATATTTTTTTCTGTTCTAATAATTCTAGTAATTATTATTATAACTAAATAATAATAAGCTTTTAAAGTAATTAATTTGAAATATTAAAATAATATATAATTAGAAAATATTATTTTTATAAAATATATCTTATATTTTTCTTATAAAATAGAATAAAGTTTTTTAATAGTTTTACTTTAATAATCTTATAATGTTTTTTTATATTAGCCTATTCAAATTTAATGTAATTATATATTTGTTTATAAAGATTAGAATATATAAAAAGTATTAGAGAATAATCAAGTAAGTCATACTTTATAATTTCTTGATTTTCTTTTAGTAATTTTACTTTTTTGCAGTATATTCATATTTAACTTGATAACTTACATTATATTTTAAGTTTGTAAGTTTCTTAGTTTTTATATTAATTTATATTTTAATTTGATCTCTTATAAATAGGTTATAATTCAATAAGCTTTTCAAATAGCTTTTTTTGGTGTAGTCTTAGAGCTAGTTGAAATTGATGGTCTGAAAAAGTCTTGGAGTCATAAAATACTTCTCTATTATTTGATTAATTTCTTTACTTATTTTTAATAAGTTTCCAGACTTTTGACGCGTTATTACACAAGATTTGTTTTGAATAAATTGGATTGGTGACTAAAATCATTTGATGATATGAAAATGCATTACAAGTAGTCTGAGAATTTTTATAATACATTTTTTATTATATGTTGGTGTAGAAAGAAAGCGTTGCATTTTAAACTGCAAAAGTACGTATAGATTCGTTATCTAATACCGACGAATTATTTATAAACTGTAACGAAATTCTCATAACTTCAGATTAAAAATAATTCTATTGATAAATATATATGCATACCGATAAATATCATGTGAATCATGTGACATCTCAGTGGTTTATAATAAGATAATATATTAGCATTCGCACTGGCCCGGAAAAATCACCTGATTCAACACTTTCTGTAACAGAAAATAGAAAAAATCACGTGATAACAGAACTACAAATTAATTTTGTGAGATGACTATATAGAGATCGGACTGTAATACAATAAAAATTTTCCGGATCGACAAAACCGGAAGAAGGAGGCCATGTTTTTATAATACACAAGCCACATTATCTAAGAAGTAGGTGACGCAAAAAAAATAGTTAATCTGAAAGAAATCAAATAACAATACTTATGTACCATTACTGAAACCCCATTTAAACTTTTTCTTTTCAACCTTTTGAATAAACTTATACAAATCCAATTCATCTTCACCACTATTTCCATTTTCCAACACTAGCTTTTTATAAACATTTAAACCTTCATTAAATTGCTGTTCATTTGTTTTACCCATCGCATAATACACAAGTTTATTGACACCTGCAAGTTGAGCTGCAGTTATTTGTAGTAAGGACATTATGGCGATATTTCCGCCGTAGGCGCCGCATCCCCAATTTCCCGTGTGAATTTCAATTATTGGAAGCGGTTTAGTATCAGAATCATTGGGGATTGTGGTTGCACTATCGGCTTTCGGATCATGATTCCGTGACAGTAGGCCTAACTCGACCATACTCTCAAATTTTGCAGCCAAGAATCCTGTATAGGCAGTAGCCAATATACGCCGTATTGTGTGCGTTGTATAATATCCAATGCCATATTTTGGGGCTTCCATCGCAAGGATATTAGAATAGTATGGTTGCCCTCGTGCATCGAGACGTTGATCGAATACAGTAGTAGCTTTAGTCACAGCTTCAGGCTTGGCAATAGCAAATTGGTTACCGTATAATCCCCATGGACGTCCTTCCTCTTCATTACGATCAGTTTTCACTTGTGCTCGACGTTCTACACCTCGAATTAATATCGGAGTGGCAAGTTTTACACCTTGTGCATCAGTCACTGTGGTCAATGTTGGCGAGGAGAACGGAACAAGTGATAAGGATTCACGAAGAGAACAAAGTGCAGGATGTTCTAAACATTGACTCTCATCCTGCGCAAAGAGACGACCTCCATAATATCCAAATAGATTTCTTTTTTTTTTATTTTTATTTTTTATTTAAAATTGAGAATGATATGATTTCAGTAATGTCTCGTGCTTTTCATTCATTGAAAATAAATCAAATGATTGTACATACGAATCGGCAAAATTTAAATGCCAAGAAACAGTGTTCTCTGTTTCGGGTGGTCCATATTGAAAACAGTCATCCGAACATTCCACAATCAAATCATTATGTTGGCCCACATGAATTTTTTCTGGTAGAGTAAATTCTTTCCAGCGTGTATACTGTAAGGTCCCATGAAATGAGTTTGCCCCCTGAGGACACGACAGGTTATATACAAGTTTTTTGTTTTTGCAAAACCAACGAGGTGGGTGCTCGCTGACTAATTCCGCGGCGGGAAAGGCAAAGTGGTTAACCAAATGTTCGTCTATAAGCTTTAAAATTTCTTCGGTTGGTCTACTTGCATACGTCATTGTTACTCTTACTAGACAAAGTTAGCGTTTGGTGCTTGTGTGTTCATGTGCCTAGGAGAAACAAGTTTTTTTAGTAAGGAAATCATGTGAGAATTGGCTCAATCAAATATTGTTTGTTAATTTTCTAAAATCCCGAATCAAAAATTAATTTGGCGAAATGATAGAAAGAATATTAAGGTTTACACTTAAATTGTTATTGCTGTACATGATATGGACATGTTACTGCATTATGCAGCATCACATTTCGAAAGATAGGTAATGGGCAAATTAAATCATGTCAAATGATAGGTAAAGGTGATTATGATAAAAGAAGGTTGCTCTCGCATTATCTTGCATCTCTAACAATTGCCACCAAAGATCTGATCGTCAAATCTATTTAAAATCTATCGATTCGCAATCTACGTTATGGATGTCACTTGTTCAAGAAGATACATAATGCCCAAAAGTAGAGTTAATTAAATGAGCGAGTAAACAAATCTAGATTAATGGCGATGGCTACCGTATTTTTGTTGTCCCAAGAGGAATAAGCAACGGGGAACGTAAGAATGTAGACAAGTCAAAAAACTCGCATTTTTGTTTCCCATCGAGTGCGTTCATCATCAATAGATTTAACTATTTTTTTCGCGAAATCACTATAGCCGTGTATCTTAGATTAAAAAATATTAGCACTCACATGCATGTAAAAAGCCTATTCTGTATGACAGCAAGCGGCGACGAAATAATATACCCAAAATAGTTACTTTCAGTATTCGAAAGTTTTCATTTTTTTTTATTTTTTTTTTCAATACGATATTGAAAATGCAGTTGTGTTTTTTATATCTAACAATTTCTCAATTCTTTTCATCCCCTAGATCTTACGCTAATTTCTAACAGTCAACACACGAGTACCAATGAAAGAGTGTGATTGGTCAGATCTCAATTTACTGTTGTTTGTGGCGTATACCCAAAATGAAAGATAATGTTTTTTTTTTTTTTTTGGTAAAGAAAAAGAATTAACAAAATTACCCCCAGTTGATATTGCAAACTTGTTCTTTCTTATAGGGAAATCTCGCTAACAGATTTCTACTGAAATTACCATAATCAATGAATTTGCGCATTTTAATTTATCGCATTAAGAAAGGCTCATAGAAATTTTTTTCCCCGTAGAATATGCTGTCTGAAAACAAGAACATGTCAAACTTTTCTTATAAATAAATAATTCACGCCATACAAGAAATAAATGTTTTGACAATCAACAGATACTTATATGTCAATGTATAATATGTTAGGACCACCTCTTTTTCACGTTCTTACCTTAATATAGGTCACGCGCATATAAATTTTTAATTTCTCCGCATCACGATGTTTGGTTATTTTTCAGAATTTAAGGGGTGATCCAACCAATATTAGATCACTAACGAACGTTAAGAACAAAGCGTGCAATATTCATTGGATGAGAGCCTTTGGAACAGGGTGAATAAAAAATCTTGTTAATGTGAAAATAACGAGTAATAAAAGGCGATCTGTATAATAACAAATGAAAGAAAAAAGCTTTTTATGGGGAAGAATAAGAATTATAGCTACATGATTTTTTCATCGCATGAAAATCAGAAGTTTTATCATATCAGGCAGCTATGAAATCATTAATTCCACTTATAATTCATTCATGGGTTCATTAATAATCGTCAAGTGATCACCATCGGCAAAATTTATTAGCAGAAAAAACTTGTATTTCGACACGAATAGTATGAATTAAAAATTGCCATTTAATTATTTATGCGAAAAAGAAAGAAAAGATGCATTTTTTCAGATTCCCCATGTTTCTTCTCGTGGGCATTACACAGTGTACATGATATTGATATTTGTAAGACATTCAAAAAATGTTGAAAAATAAAAAGCCATGCGAGTATTGATGCGGTCATAGATTGAGTTGATTGAGTTGATTAGCGTAAGGCTGGGCGAAATTTTTTTTCTCGCTTTTTCTTTCATTGCTATTACCTAATATAAATGAGGAAACTAATAGTGATTCGCGTTTTTATTTTTATTCGAATTGCGTGCGTATGTGTGTATATAAATAAATAATTTTATGAATGACATTTATTCTAACTCTATTTGTGCGTAGACAACACCAATGATTTCAATAGATTCTGCAATGTGATGTATTTGTGTAATGGTTTCGTCGGTATTATTACATGTATTTATTTATATTATTACAATATAATTACAGCCGCCGCTTTTTCAAATTGAATCAATAATTCTTTATTCCTTCTTGTAGTTTTAATTATGTGGTCAGTTTGTAACCCCCGAAAATTACTTTTTTTTGCTATATATATCTTTGTATATAATATATATTTTTACTGTATATTTGAATTAATAATAAATATAAAATATATAAAAATCGAGGAGAGCACAACACGCACTTCTTTGACCGTTCATTCATCAATAAATCAAATAATATATATATATACATACATCTTTTTTTCATCATTATCATCATCATTTTCCCCTCTCTTCAACTATAAAACCTTACGTGGGTTGTCGATTTCAGTGAAACTTCATTAAAAATTATAATAATACTTCATTCAGAAGGATCAAACAATAAAAAAAAGTCTATATTTTCTGTTCCTTCACATACACACAATGCAACAACCACCACCGTGGTTACTAGTCGGTACGCCCTTGCTAATACTATGGACTATATGGATAAGCACATATACAGGAACAGACCTTCTTAACAACTCATCGCCAAAGCTACATGGAAACTTTCTGCATATCACCGACCTCCATCCTGACCCAAACTACAAGACAAACGCTACTGCTCGTTCGTCGTGTCATAGGCGGAAAAATGACACGAGCATACTGAAAAAACCACCTCATATGAAGGTGGGAAGGTCTGGTGCGTGGGGTGCTCCTGCGACTATTTGTGATACTCCGATTCGGCTAATTAACGCTACGTTTGATTGGCTTGCTACCAACTGGGCCGACAATCTTGATTTTATTATATGGACTGGTGATAGTTCAAGGTAAATATTTTACGAATCGAGTTTCGGTGCATGAGTAAGATGTCGTAATTCGCAATGCGAGATTCCACTTAGTTCCCCTTGCATTCCACGTGCAAAGTTAATTGGTAGAAAAAAATTAATTTATTGGAAAAAAAGGGAATAGTTCTACTATAATGGGGTGTTTCGCAATGCTCATTACGGTAGTTCTAATTGACGCTCCGCAAGCGAATGCTGTTTTCTACGTTTCTTCATATGCGCACTTGCCTATTCAAGTTCACCTTTCCTATTAAAGTTGACGTCCATCTTAACCTTTTATGGATTTGTTCACTAACCGTATTTAATAAAATTGATAGACACGATAGCGATGAGAAAAAACCACGAAAATTCGAAGAAATATTGGAACTTAATCAAATGATGGCCGACAAATTTTTAACGGCATTCTCGGCCACCAAACATCTTCATCCACGTCGTAACAAGAAAGCACCAAAACTCATACCAATAGTACCATCGCTCGGAAACAACGACGTCTATCCAAGCAACATCATCGAACAAGGGCCAAACAACATTCTCGACTCATACATGAATATTTGGTCGCCGTTCATCCCAAAGTCCCAGCTCGACTCCTTTAAACGCGGCGGATACTACGTGTCCGAAGTTATCCCGAAAAAATTGATTGTTGTGTCGATGAATACGCTTTACTTTTTCGAGTCAAATACCGCGGTGAGAGGGTGCCAAGCGCCTGATGAACCTGGCACGATCGAGATGCAATGGTTGAATAAAGTGTTGCATAAAGCGCGGAAGAAAGGTATGAAAGCTTATGTGATTGGACATGTGGCGCCATCGAAAAAGCGATATACGCGATCTTGCTGGAACAAATACGGAAGAATAGCACACAAGTATCATGATATTATATTAGGACATTTGTATGGCCATGCGAACATGGATCATTTCTATTTCATCAGAAGTAAAAGTGGCAAAACAAAAACTCCATTCAGTCCAACGATAAACAGCAAAGAGGATGATAGCAATTATGAAACAATCGTTGAAGAAGAATCAAATACTGCTGAGCCAGTTGAACCATCATCATCTTCGTTGTCGGAAGAGGTCCAAACAGAAGAAAATGGCGAAGACGACAAAGTAAAAGCAAATGTCTACGATATTGATAATTATGTTCATCGTCTACTTGATCACTATAAAGAGGTACCACCAATAACTGAAAAAATGGCTTACGATTACTCAGTGATTAATGTGAATCCTTCAGTTATCCCGACATTTTTCCCTGCTCTTCGAATTTATCAGTATAACACCACCGAGTTAACAAATGTCAATAATGTGGACACCACATCCAAGAAATCGTATAAGGAAGGTGTTCCATGGGAAACCCCAGAAGACGATGATGATGATGAAGGAAATGACGGGGAAGATGATGATGATGACGAGGAAGATGGAGACGAGAAACGAAAATACCCCCCATATAATCATGATCCCGAATCTCCGGTACACAAAAACACTTTTCTCTCGCCGCTCGGATTCATACAATATTTCGTAAATCTCACCAAAGCAAATGAAAATCCCCATCAAATACCCGAATATGAAGTCGAATACACAACAAAAGGTGATTATCAAATGACCGACCTCACAATAAATAGCTGGCTTGGTCTTGCACGTCGAATTGCAGGTGACGGAATAAAAGGCAAGCTGTGGAAGAAATTTCGTAATCATATAATGGTTGGAACACGTGATGTCGTAAAGAATCGAAAGGCTGTTATGAAGTGCGAACAAGGCAGGGATTGTTCTCGGGTTAAAGCACCTGAAGATTATCTTGCCTCGCTTGGTGAATACTAATATCATGTGGCGCATGCAATTATGCGTGTAAAATGTGATAGAAAACTTTATTTAATTATTTGTATAGGTCTTATATTAGACATTCAATCTTCATAATCATCATTTATAATATTATACATCATTTTCGCCACAAAATTCATCATTACCTTAGCATAAACATCATCATTGTACTACCACACACATGTTAAAACTATCAATCTAGTTCTCGTTGAGAATTGGATGAAAATAAACAACGAACATTGTAAAGATAAATATCAAAAATAAAACTCTTTATTTCTTGAATTCCTAATTAATATAATAATTATATCGGTATATATCTTTATTACATGATCTTTATGTAGCTCCGAAATCATTACAAGTCGATGAATAATCCTGATACAAATTTTTTTTATTCATCATTTACGCAACGAGCTTCGATATAACGGATCCATTTAAAAATTGACTGCGAATATAACCTATTTCTGTCAGGGCTCGATTTAGCGACTAATAACCATATTCCTACCCTTCCAAGAGGAATACTATATTAGCCTTTGAAACTATGCACATATGTAATGTTTTGAAGAAGTTATCAAATATTTGAAATTTACACGGTTTATAAATGTTCAGATTTAGAATATTAAATGGAACGTCAGCTCTTCATTTATATATGCAAGTTGAAAGTTTTACTGAGATTTTATTTACAGTAGCGGTCATAAATAACTGCACCCCCTAATTCTTCCAAAAATAAAGCAAATCGCAATTATATTTTTTTATTAAAAATAACATAAGTAATGCTGATTTTTAGTACATAGTATAGTCGCCGTTGGACTCTATTAGTGCCATTATACGGCGTTTTATACTATCTACTAATTTTGCGACAAATTCCGATGGAAGGCGGTTCCACTCTTTTGTTAGTTCTCCCTTTAATCCATTAATTGAATGAATTTTTTTTAAGGATTTTGATCTGAGGACATTGATGGCCAGGGTAGTTCCTTGATACCTTTTTCTGCCTTCCAATTTTTCGCAATCCTTGAACGATGCTTGGGATCATTATCTTCTTGTAAGAACCAGTCTAAGTTACCCTCGCCAAAAAACTCAGAGATGGAAGGCAGAAGACCCTTCTTGTAGATTTCATACATAAAATTGGTGCCAAGGTTCCATTAAAAGCATACCAACTCACCAAACTCCGAAACTGAAAAACATCCCCATACATGGACCTTTGGTGAATGCTTAACAGTATGAAATACTTTTTTTCTCTCAACGAACTGCCAAACTTTTTTTTCGATGAGAATAGTTGAAAAGTACTTTCATCCGTAAAAATAACCTGGTTCTAATCAAAATTTTGATATCTCTTCGCCTATTGCAACCGTTTTTTCCGGTGGTTTTCCGTAAGAAGAGGTTTTGTAATTTCATTAGTATATTTTCCTTCAGCTTCATGAAGACGTCATCTAATAGTCCTCACGCTAATGTTAACACCCCGTTTTTTTATATTCCATTGTATTTGGATACTTGTTATGCTATTTTCCATCTTTGCCACTTTCGTTATTTGTTTGTCTTGTTTTGCCATTGTTCACCGTGGACCTGATTTTTTTTGATCATTTAGATTCTTTGAAATTCTCCATCTTTGAATCCAATTTTTTGCAGTATTCTTAGCACAACCAATATGGATTGCTATTTTTTCATAGTCCCATTGCGGTCCTTGTGAATGTTCGTGAAGAAAAATGATTTCATATCGTTTATGTAGAGGGAATGACATTTTTTTGGACGTAAACGCTAATCAATCCTGTTTATATGTTGTACCAACCTATAATTATACAGATTATCAGAATTAGTATCACTCTTGAGGTGTTTGTCACTTAGATTTCTGAAAATTTTGGGGTGCAGATACTTATGACCATTACTGTAGCTATTATCTTAACGACATTGGCTACTACACTATAATATTTTAAAATAAAACCTTCAAGTTTAATTGTCACGCACCAAACGCAACTCAAAAATATGGTTTATTAATTTCAAGAGAAGAAATACGGCACACGAATTCACGAACAACAAATGCAATTATCATTATGTTTGCAAGTACCTGACAATAGTCATTTTATCGATTATGCCAAGAATTTGCTTGGAAATAAGTGCCATACACGACACCAGGAAACTCCGAAAAACGACAATTATGTACGCTACAAACATTAGGAAACGAGCAAAATTTAAGTTAAAAAAAGCCAAATGAAAATACGAAGTGGCTATCATTCATAAAGCAATGTGCCGTAGAAGAAAACTAATTATTTCTCAAAAATATTAATAATTATTAAAAATTAAAAAACTCTTGCGAGCTGAAACTCCTGAATATACTTTAATTATGTATGATTTTATAATCTAAATCAAAATTTCTGGCTAAACCGTTTATATAACTGTACAACCGATAAAACCATAATATTTTGAGGAAGTTCGGCTGACATAAATTCGGCTGCAAAACATTTACATGTACATACTACGATAAAACCACAATAATGTTTGTATTTTAATAACGATTGGTCAACGAAATTTATGTATTTGTATCTAGAAAAAAAGCTATAAATATGTAGAAAAATTTCAGCATGCATCGTTTTGATTTGATTAAAATCATATTAAGGTAGTGGTAACTCGCTTGTTTCTCTTTTATTCGAGCTACAAATATCTTAAGCAAAATTCAATTTAACAACTGTATGAATTGTAAGTACCGTATTTCGCAATCATGAGTAACCCCCACCCCCTTTTTTGCTAATAGTTTTCTTTTTTTTATTAATTAATATTATCTGTGGAATATTAGATGCACGAGTATTCATGATTGCGAAATACGGCACATTATAACAATAACATCTACGTGTATGCGGAATTTATTTGAAATTCAAGCAATTCAGGCGGTTTAACATAAACCAAACATCCCAGTTGCTGATACATTTATTTGATGCACAAATTTACCATTTTAAAAAGATTTAATATTCGAAAGTAAAAGGGTGATACCTGATAAATCCTTTATCATTCGGTACAAGTCTTGCCCATCAAATTGCTTTACCAAAGATGAGTCAAATTTTTCCATTCTCATAAAAGATCGGGAGTAAATAGTTACAGAAACTTGCCACAATCGATAACAATTAAGAATAGTTTCTAAATGTTCATTAGTAAGGAAAACATGTCAACCAAATTCAATAACTTTTATCGGATTGTCGCGATTCGAGAGAAAATTTTTAGTGTGCTTGATGTTGCTTGTAAGCAATTAAAATATAATGAGCAAAGATTGCTGTGAAAATTCTAACCAGAATTCATCAGAAAAGATTCCTTCTAAGTGAGTTTACAAACGAAAAGTGCTTCAAATTTTGTAATTTTGCGATTGCTCCAAGTAATGATAACGTATCAGATAAAGTAAGGTTGGCGTGCAATGATAAAAGATTTTGCAATGTTTTCAATAGCTCTGTAGGTTATCCTCTAAATTTCTTCCGGCAGCTTCCATCAATTTCTCTATAAGTTCATCTTCATCCTAACCGATATTGTAATCTATATATGGCTTGCTTAGACAGTTCAGAGGTTGAGATAATAATAACCGCCCAATAGATGAGTTATATGCTAATTCATAATTACTGAACGCTAGTGCCTTCAATTTCGTAAAAATACAAAGATTGCTTAGCAATAATTTTTGTTCAATTAGACAAAGTCATATTTCTAAATTCAAGACAAACAAGATGATTTGCTTGAGTCTGTAGAGCGTGAATAACGAAAAGTGATCATCGCAAATGTCTGTAATACTAATATGCTCTAAAGATTTATCAGATTGCAAAGATTTTCCTCAGATCAATGCCAAATTTCTGATATTAAAAGAAACCGGATTCATCAGACATATTAAATCTCGACTGTATGATGAAGCATGATCAATTTTCACGTCACCCCTATATCCAAGCAACTGAATTTCTTTCAATTTTGAGAAGACGACAGAAAGCATTCGGAAGCTTAGCAAATGCCGGTATAGGATCTCGAGTTCTATGTAGGTCAACCACAAACTTTTCTAAGTTAGCGGTTCTGAAAATAAGTGCACATGTCTGAGCTATTATTCGCATAATTAAATTTCCTCTCATTATTTTAATATGCTTTTCCAAATTGATTCTTTCAATGTCATCAATGTAAATATCATCAGTAAAGGGATAATTTAAAACGTTCCAGTCGAGCTCTTTAATATATGAAGTATATAAGAAAAGTGGTGATGGGTAAGTTGGCCCCAAATATTCAAATATCGCTTCGCGTTCTTCATCGTTCATACATTTAATAAAAGTCTCGATTAGGCTGATTTTGTAGCGCGTAATAGTTGATCATATGAGTGGAATAGTAACAGTGTTTGAGGACGTGAGATAATTCTTCTTCAGTTATGAAATTCATAACAGAGGAGAAGGTATTATTTGTGATTGAGTCGAGAGGACGACACCAAGTTCGATTTATTTTCGCTGCGGCTAATAAAGTGGCTTTGTCGTCGACTAAGTAGAGTAATATTTCGTGGAGACACTCGGTTGGTAAAGTGATTTCGTTGGTGTTTGCAGCTTTGGCGTCAACTTTAACCTTATCATTCGAATCAAATTCTCGATTCTTATCCATTTTAATTTTTCCCTTTAATTTTTTTTAAATATTATGTCACCAAAATATCATACATGCATGCATAAGACTAATGCCAGAAGCCATTAATACAGTCTCGCTTATTTATAGTAATATAATTTAACATTACTATAGCATGGCTCTATTCAATAACGAGAGCCAAACAAGATATCGTTGTTGTTGGTGATACTTTACAATTTAAATGGCGAATCATGCTTGAATTCGTATAATTTGAAAACTTGCAAGATTTTGTAGTGCGGATGAATTCTGGAATCGCAGATGCTTGAAATTGCTTTTATATTACTAGGTGCCTTCTTTCATTACGAAGGATCATTTTCATCGAGTGTTTTGGCCTAATATAAGTTTTATTAAATACATGTGTTTTATCTCAACAGAAAATTCAGTGAATCGATATGCTCCAATCAATCTTGTCGTTTGGATGCATTTAATGTAATAGAGATATCAATACCAGACCTATTATTGGCCTTCTTTTGAACCTCGTGTTCTCAAGATGTTTATATTGGATAAGACGTTTCAATAGGGCCTCCCTTAAAACCTCGTGGCGCATCCTAAAATCTTTTTGGCAACCGAAGATATTCGGGCAACCCAATTTTTTTGGCATACTAAGTTGTTTGCGCTTTAGATTGCCAAAAATATTTTGGCATTATAAAAAAACGTATGATCATTTGAATCGATGCCGGATCTTTAAGCAGCGATAACTCACCGATTAATTAAACTACATGTAGTTTTGATTTAAGTTGTTTAACACAAAAAACTACGTGCCTATTGGAATTAAAAAAATTACGCGACTTTTATAGTTTGGATTTTTTACCGTATATGACCGAAAATAGGAATCCTGAAAATAGGGCATTTCGAAAATCAAAATTTGATTTGATGCACACTAGCATAATGACACAAATGCCCCTCTCACCCATTCTTTATTAATGAGTGAAAATCTTAAAAATCAACTTGACGACCTCAAAAACCGTAAGTCTTGTCATGTTGGTGTTGGTAGAAAGGAATTTTTCCCTATAGAAGAACAACTTTTTACTTGGTTTCTTGAAATGCATGAGACTGCTTTGGCTATTAAATATAAACAATCTCAAACTTGAAATGTCAAAACTTGTCACTGAAACTGTTGCTATCACTGACAATTTCATGAAAAATTTATTTCAAAGCTTTCTCAACATGGCTCAAATATTTTTTATATTGTTATGATCTTATTGTAAAACAAAAATTATCTAAGATCTTGATAGATTTTCAATATATAATCTATTTATATTAATACATTAACTTTTCACTCAATTATATTGCAAATATGAATAAAACTCCTATATAATTTAATATAATAAACTATCTAACTATTGAAATAATTGACAAAAAGACAGTTTATTTTTATATAGCTAGTAATAACTTTATAATTTATATATAATAACTCTCTTTATAATGTAATAAAAAAATTTAATAATAAAAAATTTTCAAAATTCCACTATATTAAGAGTTTATTAGTAAATTTACTATATCAAATGAATTTTTAAAGGATATTTTGGATATTATTCACTATATTATGAGTTTAATTAGTTTTTATTATAAAGAAGATATATTATAAAGAGAGTTATTATATAGTTATTCTTACTAATAATTAGAAATTTTAGTAAATTATTATCTTTAAAGCAAGTAATAAAATAGATTAACTAGTCAAAATACTTTTCAAACTTAGATTTATAAATATAATTAAATATTTATTAAAAAAAAATATTTATAAAATTTCTTTTAGAATTTATTATAATTATAAATTTTTAATCTTATTTCTTAAATTTATAAATATATTTATTATTTTATAATCTTAATAAATAATATATTTTATAATTATTTAAATAAATTTATAATTATATACTTAAATAATATCTTGATATTTTATATAAATATAAATTATATATTAAGTAAAAAAAAATTTAATAATATATAAAATATTTTAATTATTTTATATTACCAAATAAAATTTTAGTTATTAAAGAAAAATTATTATAATTAAAAATTAAATTAGTATTTAATAAAGATGATGTAGTAAGTATGTGATGCTTATTTGTCAGCTGTTACAATATGTTGCAACTTCAAAATTCTATAATTTGCAACTAGTTACAATTAGGTGATGCTTTATTTGTCACTACATTGCAATAATTGAGGAGCTATCTTTAGTATTTACTAATATTTAGAATTTTACTTTTTTCTAGAACTAATAAGTTATCATAAAAAACTTATTAAAGAATTTTTTTATATTATATAGTGAAAAAATCTTAACTTACTATTATACAAATTTATTTTAATTTTATATATATAATATAATATAGTATATTATATAATATAATTAATAATATAATAAATATTAAGTAATAATATATAATATAATTAATAATATAATAAATATATATAATTTTTATTATTTCTTAAAAGTTAAATATAAATATTAAATAAGTAAATATTTCTTAAAATGATTAAGTATAATTAATTTTTTTAGAGGCTTAAATCTAATATTAAACTAATAAAAATTATTTATATATAATATATTATGGATTATTACAAGATTAATATATTAATATAAAAATTAATAATTACTTCTAATAAAAATTATTCAAATTTTAACTAATTTTTATAATTTTTTTAT